GTGGGGGGGGGGGGGGGGGGGGGGGGGGTGTGGGGGGGGGGGGGGGGGGGGTGGGTGGGGGGGGGGGAGGGGCAGGTGTGTGGAGGTGAGGGGTAGGTGTGTGGGTGGAGGTGAGGAGCAGGTGTGTGGAGGTGAGGGGCAGGTGTGTGGAGGTGAGGTGCAGGTGTGTGGAGGTGAGGAGCAGGTGTGTGTGTGGAGGTGAGGGGCAGGTGTGTGGGTGGAGGTGAGGGGCAGGTGTGTGGGTGAGGTGAGGGGCTGGTGTGTGAGGCCATGGCCTCAGGGATCCCAGCTAGAGGTCATTAATGGGAGAGACAGGGTGGGACGCACTTGAGGGGCCACAGGAGGAAGGGTCAGTGGCCCCGGGCTTCCTGGCCGGATGCCAGGTGAGCGATGAGGTGGGAGAAGAGGCCTGTGGGTACCTCGTTCCTCCAGAGGCTGGTCTGAGGGCTGGAGCGGAGGAGGGTGAAGAGCTCCCGGCTGAGTGCGGGGCCAAGCGGGGCCACATGGACCTGGACAGCCGCAGAGATGCCTTCGGGAGGTGCCAGCACCTGCGGGCGGGCAGGGGAGCAGGGCGAGTTGCAGGAGCCGTCTGACAAACACACGGTGGGGCAGCCAGAGCCTTCCTGGGCCGTGGCCCCAGAGTGGGGGAGAGACCAGGGACCGAGGTGGCTGCCTGGGGTGCGGCCCCTCCCTCTCCTCCTCCTGTGGGCTCACTCCCGATGCCTCCTGCAGGCCCGGCTGCCCCTGAAGTGGATGGCGCCCGAGAGCATCTTCGACAAGGTATACACCACGCAGAGCGACGTGTGGTCCTTCGGGGTGCTGCTCTGGGAGATCTTCTCCCTGGGTGAGTGCAGGGCGGGGTGCAGGGGAGGGGCAGGCGGGACCACAGGCTCCAGGCCCCACCAACCTGGTACAGGCAGCGCAGCCCTGGAGCGGGCAGCCAGGTCGTTCTGAGGCAGGAGTTTTGAGAAGCCCCTCCTCCCCCGCACGGGCCGGGACAGAGCCCCTGCTCACTCGCAGTCCCTGACTCGCACAGTCTCCTCCCTGCCCCAGCCCTTCCCCACCTGCTGTGGGGGTGCTGCTCTGGCTTCAAGGGCTGGGAAAGGATGGCACTCACTCTGGGACACCCCTACTTATGAAGCCCCACAGGGGAGCCTGGGCCCCGCTGGACCCAGACCGCCCTGGCTGGGGTGGGGCAGGGCATGACAGTGGGCAGGGAGAGCACTGGACGGCCACTGTGAGTGCTGTGGCCAAGTAAGAGCAAAGAGGGCCCTGGATGGAAGCTTACGTGGTGTGAGCTGGAGGGCCCGGGAGGGGCTGGCCTGGGGACGGGGCGGTGAGGCGGGTGGGCCTGGGAAGACAGCAGCCAGGGCCAGGGTCCTGAATGTGGGAGGGGGCAGGGCCGGGTCAATAGATGCAGCAAGAGAAGGAGAGGTGACCCTTGCAGCTCCTTTGGGCTGGGCGAGGGCCTGGAGGGTCAGTCTGATGGGAGGTGGGGCTTTGAGCGAGGGGGGAGGAGGCTGACTCCCGGCTCTGTGGCTTGCCCCGGGGGCAGAGGGCAGCAAAGAGGCTCCTAGGACCCTGATGATGTTGGAACTCTGCCTCTAAAGCTGTGGTTCTCAACCTTCCTAATGCTGTGACCCTTTAATACACTTCCTCATGTGGTGACTCCCAATTTCATTGCTACAAATTGAAGATAATTAAAGCATAGTGATTAATCACAAAAAAATATGTAATTATATATGTGTTTTCCAAAGGGGTCATGACCCACAGGTTGAGAACCGCTGCTCTAAAGCTTGATGCTTGCTGCAGCCCTAGCGGGCAGTGCACCCCATATATATATATACACTAATTAATTAAGTGCAGAGAGGAAGGGAGAGGGAAGAGATAGAAACATCAGTGATGAGAGAGGATCATTGATCAGCTGCCTCCTGCTCGCCCCCTACTGGGGATCGAGCCAGCAACCCGGGGAATGTGCCCTGACTGGGAATCGAACCATGACCTCAAGGTTCATAGGTCAATGCTCAACCACTGAGCCACACCGGGTGCCACCCCCTATTTTAACCTGATGAAGAACTGGCCCTGGGGGAGGGGAGCGCCTTGCCCAGGCCCTGCCAGGAGCTACAGGACAAGCACCCCAACATGGGGGTCAGGGCGGAGGCGATTTGGGAGGCTGGGCTGAGCAGCAGTGGCCTGCGCCCCACCCACCCCTCCCCATTCCTGCTGCCAGGGGCCTCCCCGTACCCCGGGGTGCAGATCAACGAGGAATTCTGCCAGCGGCTGAAAGAGGGCACCCGGATGAGGGCGCCGGAGCTGGCCACTCCTGCCATGTGAGTCCGCTGGCCAAGCACACTTTGGGGGTCAGGAGGGGTGGGCAGGGAGGGGGCATGCAGGCAGCGCAGGAGGAGGGAGGTGGTGCAGGCAGGGTGGGGGTGGAGACCTGCAGACACAGTATCTCACTCCACCCCGCTCCACCCTGAAGGCGGAGGGGGAGGGGATGCCTGAGGGAGGGGGAGGGGATGCCTGAGCCCTCGAGGAGGGGCTGGCCGGTGGGTGTGAGGGCCGAGGCGGGGCTGGGGGGCGGGCACAGGGTGTGGGCCCTCACACCACGGGCCAGCAGTGCTTTCCCCGCAGACGCCGCATCATGCTGAGCTGCTGGTCTGGAGACCCCAGAGAGAGGCCGGCGTTCTCCGAGCTGGTGGAGATGCTGGGGGACCTGCTCCAGGGCGGGGGCCGTCAGGTGAGCGCCCTCACTCTGTCCTGCTGCAGGGCCGTCAGTGAGGGCAGAGCCTGCACTGGGCCTGGAGGAGCCCCTGCTCCAGGAGGAGAGTGACGTGCCTCCTCCCCCTCCCCCGTCCCCCCCTCTATCCTCCCCCTTCCCTCACACCCCTGCGCTCCCCTGGGGTGCTCTGGGGCCTGGAGCCCTGAGCAGGGAGGCCTGCTGCCCAGGCCATAGGCTCTTGGCATCCAGTTCTGCCTCCGGAAAAGGGTGGGAAAGGCGGGTGCCGCTCCTGAGGCGCAGAGCAGGGGCGCCCTGGGGTGCTCCTGCTGCACCTGCGCCTCTGGCTCCTTTAACCCTCAGCCCAGAGCGAAGCCCTTCTCAGGTGGGTAACCCGCAGTCCTGAGTGCAGGGGCTGAGGGCACAGTGGCCTGACCCCTGCCACCTCCCCCATCCCTGCCACCTCCCCATCCCTGCCACCTCCCCATCCCTGCCACCTCCCCCATCCCTGCC